TTTAAAGGTGAACTGCTAGGTTGTTTATTTGGACTTTTTTTCTTGGTTTTTCACAGATAAGCTTGTAGTGATATAAACATTTCTTACTATCATTGTTGTTATATCACAAAAGTTTTGATATGTTGTATTGTCATTCTCATCTGTCTCTGTAGTTTTTATCTCTTTTTATTTATTTTTGACTCCGTCATTTTTTAGCAGCATATTGTTTAGTGTCTATATATTTGTATGTTTTTACCTGTTATTTTTTGCAGCTGATTTCTAGTTTTGAAGCATTGTAGTTGGAGAATATGCTCAATATAATTTCAGCCTTCTTAAGAACTGAGTGGCTCAAAAAACTATGGTACATTTACACAATGGAATACTACACAACAGAAAGGAAGAAAGAGCTACTAGCCTTCACAACAGCATGGATGGTACTGGAGAGCATTATGTTAAGTGAAATAAGCCAGGGGGTGAAAGACAAATACCATACGATCTCACCTATAAGTGGAACCTAATGAACAAAACAAACAAGCAAGGAAAATATAACCAGCAACAATGAAAGAAAAAAGAAACCAACAGAAATGAGAGGGGAGGAGAGAGGAGGGTAACAGGGGAAGGAAGGGGAAGGGTCAAATCAAGGAACATGCATGAAGGAAACATGGACAAAGCCAAAGTGGGGAAAGATTGAGGGAGGGAGGTGGGGCTGGGTAGAGCAGGGGAAAGTGGTGGTGGGTAAATGGAGACAAATGTATTTGAACAATTAAAAAAAATTGTTAAAACTAGTTTGTGTTCTACTATATGGTTTATCTTTGAGAATATTTATGTGCACTAGAGAAGAATGTATAGTCTTGTGTCCTGGTAAAAAAGAGTCAGAAAATGTTAATTATGTCCATTTGGTCTGATGTTTTGTTTAAGGCTGATATTCCTTAATGATTTTCCACTTTGATGATCTATCCATTGTTGTCAGTGTGATATTGAAGTCCTCTATGTTAATTGGGATTTGTCAGGTTTTTTTTGTTTGTTTTGTTTTGTTTTGTTTTGTTTTTGTTTTGTTCTGTTAGTGGTTGCTTTATATATTTGGTCCTTCTTAATACGGTGCATATATATTGATAAGTGTTATGTCTTCTAAATGTATTTTTACTTTATCATTATAAAATGTTCATCCTTTTCTCTTGTTACTCTACTCTGCTACTCTGTGCCTTTTTATTGGTGAGTTTAGTCCATTTACATTTGTGTGTGTGTGTGGTTACCACTATGTTTATATACAATAAAGTTTTATATATACAGTGGTCATTTTTCTCTTGAATATACCTAATCTCTACCCCCTTTAAAAATTCATACATTTACTCCCCTCCTTTTATGTTTTCGTTGTCACAGATTTTTCCTATTTTTTATGTTGTTTGTTCATTTCCAAATTATAGCAGTTTTGTCTTCCTCTTTTTTAATGTTACTACTCTTTTGGCTTTTATGTGATATTTAAGCATATAGTACCCTATTCTAAAAGTGGGTTGTAATGTCCTGCTTCTGTCTTTCTGTTGGTAATCTTACTTGTAGTTTTGTGACCTTTTATTCTTTGTTTCAGTTAGAATAACTGCTTGGAATATTTCTTGCAGTAGAGGTCCTTTATTGGTAAATTTTCTCAGCTTCTATATGTATTGAAAGTCTTTATTTCTTCTTTGTATCTAAAGAATAACTTTACTGAACATATTATTCATGACTAGCAATTTTTTAAAGTAGTTTGAATATTCCATTCCACTTTCTTTTACCTTGTAGGTTTTCTGTTGAGGAATCTGATGAAAATCTAATGGGATTTCCTTAGTAAGACACTGTCCCTTCTTTTATTCCCAGGCTGCCTTGAGAATTCATTCTTTGTGTTAATTTTTAACAGTTTTAATGTAATGTGCCTTAAAGAGAGCCTTTTTGGATTGAGGTAATTGGGGGTTTTGTTTGCTTCTTGAATTTGAGGATCTAGCTTTTTCCATAGGTTTGGGAAATTTTCATCAACTATATGTCTGAATAAGCTCTCTGTTCCCTTCTCCCTCTCTTCTTCTTCTCATATGCCTGTTATTTTATATTGTTCTTTCTGATAGAGTCAGATAGTTCTTGTAGAGTTCTTTCATTTTTTTTTTTTTATTCTACAGCTTCTCTCTCTTTTCCTCTGCATCATTTCTAGGTTTCTGTCTTTGTTATCACCAATTCTTTCCTTCATCTCATCAGCTGTATTTCCTAAGCTCAGGATTTTGTTCTTTATGTCTTTTATTGAGTTCTTCATCTCAATGGTTTCCATTTTGTTCATTTTAAAAGCTAAAATCTTTTTGGTAAAATACTAATTTTGTTCATTTATTTTATTTCTGAATTTATTAAATTGCTTATCTGTGTTTTTTTTTTTGTAACTTATTGAGTTTTTTCATGACTGCAACCTTGAATTTTCTGTCATTTAAGTAACATATTTTTATGTCTTTAAGTTTATTTTCTGGAGATTTTTAAATTTTACTTCTGAGCTGCCTCATTACCTTGATTTTTCATGGCATATGAACCACTAAGTTTATATACAATAAAATTTTATATATACAGTGATCATTTTTCTCTCAAATATACCTAATCTCTAGCACCCTTGGAAAATTCACACATTTACTCCTCTCCTTTTATGTTTTTGTTGTCACATATGCTCATTTATTATGTTGTATGTACATTTCCAACTATAGTAGTTGTTGTCTTCTTCTTTTATTTTATCAAAGCCAGGGTGGCCAGGCTTTGTTCTTTTGACCTCCATTCTTCTTATTTTCCTTTTTTTGAGGAAACTCCATACTGTTTCCATAGTGGCTGTACATTTTTATCAGCAGTGTATGAGGGGTTCTTTTTTCCCACATCCTCTTCAACACTTGTTATTTCTTGTATTGTTGATAATAGACATTCAAACTAGTATGAAGTAGTATCTCATTGTGGTTTTGATTTGATTTGCATTGCTTTTATAGCTAGTGAAGTTGAACATCTTTTCACATATGTGTTGGCCAGTTGTATATCTTCTTGGGAAACTTTCAGGTCCTCTGCCAATTTTTTAAAGTTGGATTGCTTGTTTTTATTGTTGTTGTTGTGTTGCATGTGTTCTTTATATATTTGGATATTATCCTCTTATCAGATATTTTTTTTTGTGCATATCTTCTAACCTCTGGTTGGTTGTTTTTTTGTTTTGTTAACTTATGTGTATGTGTGTGTGCACATGTGCATGTGCATACAGAAGACTTTTAATTTAATGCAGTCTCATTCATTTATAATAATAATTTTATATTGGCATTTATTGCATTATTCAGGTTAATTTTTATTGTTGTTCAATTACAATTGTCCCACATTTTCCCCCATTGCTCTCCCCTGCCTTGCCTACCCCATCCCACAGTCAATCCCTGCCCTGTTGTCCATGCCTATGGGTCCTCAGGTTAACTTTTGATTTTACTCAGATCATTAGTTTCATAAGGGGATTTATGTGGTATATTCTTTGAGTTTTTGAATGTTCAGATATGCATTTATTTTGCTCTCATAAGAGAATAATAACTGGCCTGAACAAATAATTTTAAGATTATCTCATTACCTCAGAATTCTCTAATATTTCCCCACAACATTGAACATGAGCTATCTGAAGCCAGTGTCTTAGAGTTCAGAAACAATGGATGATACTGAGTGTGTAAACCTTTCTCAACAATTCTGAGCACAATTCTGTGAGTCTTCTATATTATAAAAGTAGAGGTTTTAGGGCTTTTTTTTTTTCTCCCAAAGACTTCTCCCTGAAATCTTAGTGTCTGGCATATCTTTGGGCACCATATAGGCTCTGATTAAATGTCAGTTGAATGCTTATATGAAAACCAAACAAAGGAATGGTATTTAAACTACTTTCAGCCTGCCACACCAATTATCAGTGAAAGGAACAAAAATTAACTCTCAACACAGTAATTAATTTTCCCATGAATATTGTAGTACCCTGGGGTCACTTCCCTGCATCCAATAAAACTTCTTTCTAATCAGACACCACTGCAGGGACACCAGTGTGGACTCTGAAGGGAAGTCTGCATGGCTTCTCTTTATACTCAGAGTACCTGTAGACACGCTCAACTCGTTTAGGGTGTAGTGGGGATCCAAGACCGCTGCATATTCCCTATAGAACTATTCATACAATATGCATGAACACATGTCTTTCAACTCACCATTTCCAGGTTAGTCCCACTCATGTGACAATCCCACCCTTTAACAGTGACAATTAGTATTACAGGAGAAACTGAGCAAAACAGTATTTTCCTTAGATTATCTAATAATCTGCACTGTCACTGCTGCTCCTTTTTCACTGTAGATTATGGAAGTTTACCTGCAGATTATATAGCTATACTCAAAATTTCCAGTGTCTTCTGATAACGATTTTTTGAAGAGCAGAATAAAAAGACAGAGGGGAGTATGACAGGACAGGGAGAATAGACACAGCAATGAGAAAAGTGACAGTAGTCTCCAGAGGAAAAAATAATGGATAAATAGAAAAATAGAGAAGACCAAAAAGAGGGAGAAAGGAAAAAGGTGATCCTAATAGGAGGAAAAGGAGAAGACCACAGAAAGATAAAGAGCGGGGAGACTGCTGGAAAGACCACTGGGCACTACTGAAGACCTTCTCTCAGTTCTTCTTATAGAAAAGGATGTTGAAACCCCAAGTGTGGGTTTGATTTCTCCAAGGCTAAGAGGTACTGAATTTTCTAGTCAGACCACAGAATGGAGACTTTGTTATGAGCTAGAACTCATTTCATAGTTGTTGGTGCAATGGGGAGGTTAGGGGGCAGGCAAGGGCAGAGATAGAATCTGGAGGCCAGCTAGAGTGGGAGAGATGGAAGGGAAGTAAGAGACCCTGTGGGAGGCTTGTGGCTGAGGGAGGCAGTAGGGTTTCTCTGACAGGGAAGTGAGTAGAGAAAGAGGTTTGTTTGTTTGGCAAAGGAAGTTAGATAAAAGTTCAAAAGGATTTGAAGGGGACGCTGATACCTGAGTTCTGAACAGTTTGTCCTGCCGAGACATCATTCATCTAACAGAGCTTCAATGCTGCTTCTTCTGCTCCTGCTCTTCAAGAAAATTCTCTGTCATGGGCCAAGCACAGTAGGTAAGAAGAACTCAGGTGGAAAAACATCTGTGGTTGGGCATAGCAGGGTGGAGAAAAAGTTCTGGGGAGGATCTGGGAGCAAGGAGTAATGCTCCTATTGGGTGTTCTTAGAATCTGCATGCCAGGCTAGTTCCAGGCAACATACCCTTGACCCCAGTGTTAGCTTCTGTCTCTGATTTTGGAGACTAGAGGTTGAATCAGGGAGAAGGGGTTATGTAAATATGTGCAAACCCTGTAACTATTTCCATTTTTCTTTTGCTATATGGACCTCTCCCATTATTTCACACTTTCTTAATGGTCATTTCTCTCTCAGCTACCCAAGTTCTAGGACCCCATCATCCAGCAGCAGAAGAGCCCCTCTCCTTTCGCATGCTCCAGATCTCCTCCTTCGCCAACCACAGCTGGGCACACACCCAAGGCTCAGGCTGGCTGGGCGAGCTGCAAACTCATCGCTGGGACAATGCCTTGGGCACCATCCGTTTTCTGTGGCCATGGTCCCAGGGTAATTTTAGCAAGGAGGAATTGAAGCATATCCAGGCACTATTGCAGTTGTACTTCCATAGTTTCCCTCTGGAAGTGCAGGCATTTTCCAGTCAGTTTCAGTTTGAATGTGAGTTTGCTTTTTCAAGCTGATATTTGCATGGGGGCTCTGTTCAGGGGAAGATGGTGTGTGGGTTCTGACTATCTTTCAACCTTGCTTACCTTGTTTTCTGTCTCCCTTGGCTCACTCTCTCTACTTTGCTTCATCCTTCGCCACCATTCTCACTCTACCCCCATCCCACCACATACAAAGAAAGACATACATGTACATATCTCTTCACACCCCTCATATGCTGGCTCCTTGGAATAGTTGTCTCTTTTTGGTGTTTTTTCCCTCACCCTTGGCCTCAGACTCAGCTTTTACCAAACAGGATCTTGCTCTTCTTTCCTTTCAGCCTGATTGTTCAGGTGGTTTAACCAGTACCTAACCACTCCTAAGAGAGCTCTTCCTGACTTGTCTGCTGTTTCTAACAGTCTTCTTATCTAGCCCCTTCAAATTGTTTCAACACACCTTTGTTATCTTCACATTTTCTTCCCACAAATTTCTTCTTCTTTTTTTTATTTTTAGTTGTGTATTTTTTTAAAATTTATTTTCTTTATTTTTTCAAATACATTTGTCTCTGCCTTCTTCCCACCACCTTCCCCTGCCCCCTCCCCCTCCCTCCCTCAATCCTTCCCCTTTGGTTTTGTCCATGAGACCTTGCTACATGTTCCCTGATCCTCCCACTTCTTTCCTTTTCCCCCATCTCCCCCTCCCTCCATCCCTCTTGTCTCTGTTCATTTCTTTTCCTTTCATTATTGTTGGTCTTATTTTCCTTGCATCTTTGTATTGTTGATTAGGGTCCGCTTACAGGTGAGATCATACAGTATTTGTCTTTCACCCCCTGGCGTATTTTGCTTAGCATAATGCTCTCTAGTTCCATCCATGCTGTCGCAAAGTGTAGTAGTTCTTTTTTTCTTTCTGCTGCGTAGTATTCCATTGTGTAAATGTACCATAGTTTTTTGATCCAATCATCTACTGATGGGCATTTAGGTTGCTTCCAAGACTTGGCTATTGTAAATTGTTCAGCTATGAACATTGGGGTTCATAGGTCCTTTTGAATTGGCTTTTGTGATTCTTAGGGTATAGTCCCAGCAGAGGATCAGAATGGCCACCATAAACACATCAACAAACAACAGGTGCTGGTGAGCCTGTGGAGAAAAGGGAACACTAGTACACTGTTGGTGGGAATGCAGACTGGGGCAGCCATTGTGGAAATCAGTGTGGAATTTCCTCAAAAAGCTGTAAATGGAACTGTCTTCTCCTTTTTCTATCCAAACTCTAATTTTCCATGGCATTTGCCAGAATTTTTTTCCTTGTATTCTTTTATTTTCTAGATTGTTTACTTTCCTTCCATATACTTCTTTCTATATTGACTCTCTCTCTTCCTTGTCCATCGCCAGATCCCTTTGAGCTCCAGATATCATTCGGCTGTAGAATGCATTCTGGGAAGGCTTCAGGCAACTTCTTAAATGGGGCATATCAAGGATCAGATTTCCTGAGTTTCCAAGGAAATTCCTGGAAGCCATCTCCAGGAGCAGGGAGTCGGGCTCAGAATGTTTGTAATGAGCTTAATCACTACCGAGTTATTAAAGAAATTGTGCAGAGCCTTCTCATTGACACCTGCCCTCGATATCTGGCTGGCCTCAGGGAATCAGGGAAGTCAGAACTGGAGAGACAAGGTGAGCCCAACTTTTTCTTCCCTTATATCTTTAGTGCTTTAATTCTTGTATCTGAGTTTTTCACTGTTTACCACCCCTTGAAACCCATAATAAGGGGCTAGAGGGTAACTGTGGGTTTAGGACTGTTTCCAAGACAAGAAAAAGAAGTGATTATTTAAACTGCTAAGGTACCCAAGTCACTATACTCTGGCTTAGGATACCCTTTTAAATTCCATTTCTTCTCATCTTCTCCTTTCCAGTGAAGCCAGAAGCTTGGGTGTCCAAGGGCTCTAGTCCTGGTCCTGGCCGTCTGCTGCTGGTGTGCCATGTCTCTGGCTTTCATCCAAAACATGTGTGGGTGATGTGGATGCGGGGTGAGCAGGAGCAATCAGGCACTCAGCAAGGTGAAGTCTTGCCCAATGCTGACAGAACATGGTATCTTCGAGTAACCCTGAATGTGGCAGCTGAAGAGGCTGTTGGCCTGACTTGCCGTGTGAAACACAGCAGCCTAGGAGGCCATGATATAATCATCCACTGGGGTGAGAAAGAACTTGGGCCCAACTGGGAGATGGTAATCTTCCCTTAGTTCCAGGGTGAAATGAATAGGAATGTTATGTACAAGAGAATAAAAGTGGGAAAGTGAAAATAAAGAGGATAAAGAACGACAGCAATTAAATTTTAAAAAAAGGAAGTAGATGATTCTAATTACTAAAGAGGAAAAAAGATCTAATGGTTTGGTAAAAACAAACAAAAAACAAACAAACAAAAAAACAGAAAAACACCAAAAACAAAAACCAAAAACCAAAAAGATAGAGACGGGATAAGATAAGGGTCATAGACTCAGGAAGAATTGAAATGAACACTCTAGAAAATACAGAAGAAAACTCTTGGAATGTCCCTTCCTTATAAAATGAGAAACATTAACAGAAGGAGAATAGAGAGTACTTCATTGATTGACATTCTTATTTTATTCCCAAGCAGATGGATACCCCATCCTCCTGATATGTATCTGTTTGGCTGTATTAGTTACCCTGGTTATCTTGGTTGTGATTAACTCATGGTTTAAAAAGCAGAGGTGAGACTTCTCTTGTTCTGTTTCTTCAACAGCTTATTAATTCATTATATTTTTCTCTAATGTTTTTCTTTCTTCCTCTTTTATAATTTCCCATCTTTTATCAAGATCCTTTTCTCCTCCCACAGCTCAAATCAGAACATCTGCCCTCCCCATGTATCCAAACCTATCTTTCCCACAGAAGCCAACATCCAAGAACCTAGTAATTCAGGAAGTTTTCTCTGCTTAGCACAGAAATTATGGATCAAAAACAGATTACAGAAGAAATGAAAGATAAGCCTAAACCAACTCTGATGACATTTGTTTTACATTATACATAAGATACATGTCTACTTCTTGTTAAATATGGTTCATACAAATAAATAAAATGTGATTTTGTTAAAACATCTTGTTCTGGCAGAGATTCTGGCTCATTTGGAAACCTTCTCCTCTCCCCCATCTGGTGACAATCTTTTTTCTGCTTTGGCCAGATGTTGTTTTATCCTTCAAACTTTAACTCAGGGACCTGTTTTTCATGGAAGCTTCTGTGGATTTCTTAATTGACATCTCAACACAAGTACCATATGAATTCACCTACAGATGAAATCTAATGAACAAAATAAGTTAACAAAATAGAAATAGATTCATAAATACAGAGAACAGACTGACAGCTGTCAGAGGGGAAGGAGGTTAGGGAGCTGGGCTAAAAGGTGAAGGGATTCAGCAAAAAACCCCAAAAGCCCTCATAGACACAGGCAACAGTATGGTGATTACCAGAAGGAAAAGGAGTTGAAAGCGGGTAGAAGAAGGTAAAGGAGGGATAGAAGGTGATGGAAGGAGATTTGATTTGGGATTGTTAACACACAATACAACATGCAGATGATATATTAAAGAATTGTACACCTGAAGCTATATAATTTTATTAACCAATGTTACTCAATAAATTCAGTAAAAAAGAAATAAAAGTTCTGTAACTATGAAAAAAAGAAAGAAAAATCTCTTACTTTCTTCCCAAATTAGATGAATCTTCCTAAATTTATTAATCTATTTGTACTCTAAACATTGTTACTTAAGTTTTTGCTCTTCTTTTTTTTTAATATCAGTTCCTTGAAAGGAGAATTTAGGTGTTTATATTTGTGTACATGACCAAAAGCATAACCTGAATTCAGGGACAGCTTGATAGGCATTTGACTTGTATAGTTATTCCCATCTTGAAATTTTTAATAATTTTTTAATGCGATATTGTATTTTGATTTCGTACTTGCCCCACAAATTCTGTAGCTTGTTTCTGCCTGACTATGATATATTTCAATTATTCCAAATAAAATAAATTTATTGTCCAGTTAGGTGATATTGCCTTAATTCATTCCCTCTTTGACATCTCTGCATCATTTGGCTGTGTTATTATTAAAATGTTTTCTCTCTCTCTCCTTTTCTCCACCAGAGGTGAAGGAGGCAGAAAAGTGCTTTAGACTTTACAGTGACTGGTGTTTGTACATCTTAAGAGATATTTTAAAAAATAATGATATATGAGATGTCTCCTGTCAAAATCAGAATGGGGTTAGACTGGCATTTCTATTTCTCTGAGATTGTGTATGTGTGTTTTTTAGCAGATGTGCATATTTAGGGGAGAAATTAATATTTTGCAAAATTAGAAGAAGACATGGGGATTGGGGATGATTTTAATGGACAGAGCCAAGGTAATGAAGGAAAAGAGTGATTGGATGTCACTCTTTATTATTTTGGTATAATATTATATTATTATTATAATTTATAACATGTTTTCCTCTTATTTTTTATATAAATTTTTGTTACCTAATTAATTTAATGGAGGTGCATTTGAACCTGTTGGAGAGCAGAAAACTGTTGCAGTTTATACTGATGTTCAATCAATACCTTCCTTGGAATGGGGTAATTGAGAAGATTGTGTAGATTTCTTAGTGGAAGCTTCTATTTTTAAGTTAACAGACAGGGTTCCATTACCACTTACCAAGGCTGTACTCTTAACCTTGAGCGAAGTTTATGGGCTAGCCATTCCATTGTTTAGAACCTGTTGTATGACATTTACCTGTAGTCAGGTCCCTAGGGTCTGGACAGAAATGTAAGCTTGGAACAAACTCTTTGGAGCAATAACAGCTAAAGGTCAAGTTCTCATGACGTGAAAGAAGGACACAGGGAGTGACCTCCATCAAATTTGAGAGGACCTTTTAGCTTGTAGCAGAGGCATGTGATATGAATATTTAATTTATGTTTTTATGGAATTGAGTTTTACCCACAACTCTAGTATTTTGGTCACAATAATTCTTGAATTCTTTTTTAAAAAGCATCTATATATTTTTTAAGGATCTTATTTATTTATTCATAGAGAGAGGGGAATAGAGGGAAAAAGAGAGGGAGAAAAACATTGATGTGCAAGAGATACATTGATTGGTTTCCCCTCACATGTCCCCAGTGGGGGGACCCGGCCCACACCCCAGGCATGTGCTGTGACTGGGAATTGTACCAGTGAACTTTCAGTTTGCAGGCAGGCACTCAAGCTGCTGAGTCACACAAGCCAGGGCTTGAATTCTTAAATATGGCTCAAGCTAGCTTTTCTGGTCTCATGTGAAATCTTTTCCCCAGTATATATTAGGCTTCTGTGACACTAAACTTGGGGACAAGGGCAAGGGTGGAAATAGCAGGACTGATTTCAAAGCCTATAGTGGTAATTCGAGATGATGATAATAGTAAACTATAGCACTTGAGATGTATGTGGTTAAAAAAAAGACTTGAAACTGTGTATTTTGAAAGTAGAGCCAGTATGATTTAATGATAAATTCTATCTGTTGTATTAGAAAAACAAGGAGTCAGAAATGACTTCAGGATTTTGTCAGTAGAAGCTGGAATTTCATTCAGAATAACAATTAACTAGACAGATAAGACCATGAAAGGAACAGATTTGGAGGACAAAGTATGGTTTTGGTTTTGGATATTTAATTTGAAATTCCCATTAAGATTCAGAAAGGAGAAATCAAACAGATTGTTGGTTTTAGTCCTGGAATTCAGATGTATCCTTGCTAAAGACACTTATTTGAGAGCAATAACAAGAAAATTTGAGAACTACTTTACAATGGTGGATATGGCTATATGAATAAACAGTTGGAATACAATGTTGTGATTGCTAATTGAAAACTACCATTCTGTTTTGTGAATTAGGTTGAGATCATAAGGAAAGGAATGGCCAGTTTTTACTGCTGGATTACAAAACAGGTCTCAGGTAGTCTACCAAAATTGAAAGTTGAAAACTGATTGGTACGTTGGACCCACTTATTGGGAAGCTTCAAACTGAAGAAGTAAAGGCACAGAAATAGACAATATTTCAGTTTTGAATGTTGAGGGCATTTTAAGCATTTAAAGATACCTGAAACATAGAGCTATGCTATTCACAGCGTGGACCCAAAATTGGGACAACAGTAATAAAATAACAATTCAAAAAATGTTAAAAAATAGAATAGGACCAGACTCAGGAAATACTTGTTACTTGTCCATAACAACAGAAGTATAAATACTGAAATCAAACATTTAAAAACTTTCATAAGAAATCAAAAGAATAATTTCATGTATGTTAATCTAGTAGTATAACAAAAAATATGTATTTTTTATTTTTTTAAAATAATTCATTTTCATTGCATTTTACAAAATGATTGATGTATAATAAATTTGGGGAAAAATTACTCTTAGATAGATTGAGAAGCACAGACATAGAATGTAAGAAGGTAGGCATGATCATATGTAAGAGCAGGACATAGCCTTTGCACATCATGTTGCATTATTTGGATGCGATCTCATAATAAATAGAAGGCCATGTGTTCAAAAATATTTTAAAAATCTCAGAAAAATTAATGTCAAGCATTTGTCAATATGTACTAATGTACTAGCAAATAAATCTAAAAGTTAATAAAAAATAAAGTACAAGTTTTAGGCATGGTATGGAATTGGATGAGTGATAAATTTGGAAAACAAAATGCTTGTGAAATAAAAGTGAGTACATATGAAATGGCAAAAGGCTCTATCTTTTACTAGTAGTCTAGTCTGCTTTCTGCTTTTGTACCAACCAAAACTACAAGATAAACTTCATCGGAAAAATTTAGGCCCAGAATTACAGCTTTATCAACACAGAACAGGAAAGCTGAGAGACAAGCTGCTGTCTCATCTGATGTAACAGTGATTCCTGGAAGTCTTAATGGTTCAGAAAACATCCCCAGGACTTTTGGATTATTGGACGTATTCTCTAAGGCTCATAGTAGGAATTATAGTCCATGGTCTGAGCTGAAGAGAATGTCTCCATTTGTGAAAATAATGGGTTATATGCTTTGAAATTTTTAAACAGTTTAGAAACTAACACAAGATCATACCTTGTGGCATGAACTATAAAGGTTGGGTACAGCTTAATTTTCCAGAAGCCATTGAGTAGTTGCATAACTTGGGGCAAGTTAAACCACCTTTATGAACCTCAGTGGTGCCATGAGGTATTTAGAAACTATGGCTTATGAAATGTCCTTTTTTTTCTTCTAAATTCTCTCAAATTTCTCTGCTGTCAAAAAAAATAAAAGATCATACTGTAAACACTGTTTGTAACTTGCTTCCCCCTGCCATTATCTGTATATTGTGAACATCTTTCCATGTCAATAAAGATGCTTCTACAACAACAACAACAAAAAGTGAGTACAATGTTATTTCATTTTTATAAAAACATTATGACCAAGTTTTTCTCTTTTTTCTTTCTTCTTTCTTTCTTTCTTTCTTTCTTTCTTTCTTTCTTTCTTTCTTTCTTTCTTTCTTTCTTTCTTCCTTTCTTCTTTCTTTCTTTCTTTCTTTCTTTCTTTCTTTCTTTCTTTCTTTCTTTCTTTCTTTCTTTCTTTCTTTCTTTCTTTCTTTCTCTCTTTCATACAAGAAGTCTGTAGAAGGATGATCTGAGATGCCTGGTATGCAGACATTAGGTCAGAAGTAAAAATAATAAATGAAGCAAACAGCAGAGATGTAACTTTCTGTAAAATTTAAATAGCACGTTTCACTTCCCAACACCTAATATGAGAGCTTAAAACTGTGTCAGACAGACATCTGAAAAAACACAAGTTCTAATTTTATACATTACCAGGGGATTTCTCCTTCAAGCTATAGACAAATATGCTGGTGACATAGTTCACTTATTTTTTACTTTGGGAATATTTTCTTTTATGTTTTGTCACACCGAGCAGCATTTCATAGGCATGTTATAATGATTTCATTTTAGAAAAATAACTGGGTCTACAATA